GCCGCCGATGTTGCAGTTGCTGCCGCTGCTGCGCGGCTGGGGCCCCAAACAGGCTGCCTTAACCCCACACCTGCTGGGCCCCAGCCGGGCTCTTTCTCGCAGGGAAGGGCTGGAGAGGGCGGAGAAAAGGGGGAGGAGTCTGCGGGGAGGCAGGGGATTCCCTTACTTGTAGGCACTGGCTGCCATTGGCCTGCAGACTGGTCAAAGAAGAGTTGAAAGAAAACTACCGGGGACAAGTCCTGGGTGCCTGGGTGCCCCTAAGTGCCCAGTCAACCTTGTGGTGCGTTTTGGCTATCACTGTCATAACGTCTCTGGTTTTCTTGGTAACTACATGAGAAGAGTCCAATTATTCCCTCCCCATACCTTTAAAATAGATGATTAAGAAAATTTTCAAACCTGTCTAAAAGCAGAGAAAAGAATATAAAGAACTCCCAGGTACCTAATAATGATCAACTCAGTCAATCTTGTTCATACCTACCCTCAATATCTCTTCCTGGATTTTGCAGGAGTATTTGAAATCAAATCTCAGACATGATCTTGAGATGTGGAATTTGAGACCCAGGAAGTCCCAAACAGTTGTCAGTGGTAGAGAAATATTCTGCCTCTGTGTATTCTTGTCCAGGTGCCATATACAGATACTCACAAAGACCTTAGAAGCAGTGACCACCTGTACTGTCTCCAGCCTCTAGACATTATGTACGTCTACGTAGTCATCTGCAGAGGTCTACCCCAGCTGGCCACAAGCATGGACCCTCCCCACCTCTGACCTTCCTACCTCTCCCATCTCATCCCTTGTTCATTGTGAAAGAGAAGGCATGCACACTCAGAAAAGGTCTATTAGTAATAGAACAAACCAAAACTCCAACTGCCAATTTCTCTCTCTTGGCTTCCCTAACCAACATTCCAAGGTGGGGATACTTTTAGCCAAAGCAATATCTTGAGGCTGTGTCTGCTTTCACTTGCAGGTTCAGAAGGAGATGAACAGATTCTAATTAATTTTTGTCACTTGGAAGGACCTGTTCTTGAGTATATTAAAACTTTCTCATTATCTTCTGAAGAAGAGAGATGAAGGGCTGGGGTTGTGGCTAAGTGGTAGAGCACTTGTTTAGCATGTGTGAGGCACTGGGTTTGATTCTCAGCACTGCATATAAATAAAGATCCACTGACAACTAAAAAAGTATTAAAAAGAGAGAGAGAGAGAGAGAGAGGGGGGGGGGGCAGATGTGGAGCTCTAGCTGAGGAAACCAAGGCTCCTAAGTGCTCTCGCATTTGACCAAGGCCTCAGGGCTAGTATTCAATGGAACCAGGAGGTATAAGGGGCCTGTCTGGACTCCTAGTGCTCTTTTCCAGATCCCTCCTCCCTCTGCTTTAGCTTATGAAAATTTCTGACCACTCTAAAAGGTAAAACAATGCAACCCCTGCCCGCTTTATATATTTGTTCTTTATATCTTTGTTAAAATGCAACTGCGTTGCTGTATGTCTCCCTTTGGCTGTAGTTACAAGGCCCTGCCATAGCCCAGGTACTGAGGTCCAGGAAGCCGCCTCCCACACGTGTTCTGCCCCTCTAGACCTCATCCTTCTCTCCCCTGCAGAACCCTCTCCCCTCTGACAACATTCTGAACACAGACTTTACTGCTAAACCTCCAGAACCTCCTTTTTTGGTGCTGACTCCTACAAACTATTCACAAGGAATCTTTGGACCCCTTCTCTGTCTCGGATATTTGGGATCCTTGTGGACTTTTCCATGTGGAGGGTCCCTGGGATATTGTCAATCTCTGCAGAAATGTTTGTTGAATGAATATAAATTAATTCCTATTAAGATGTAAAAGTTAAAGGACTCTTGTGTTTTAATGTATTACCTCTCCTAGTAGCATTTAATAGCCTTTAATATGTAGGGCCCTCGACTTACAAAGCACTTCCAGCTCCCTTTCTTCCTCCAAACCTTATTGAGGTAAGTATGAGATGAGGCATCTTTCAGAGAGGTTATCCAATTTGCCTAACGCCACACAGCACATCTGCAAAGACTGCCATATGGAAAACGGTCCACAGATTCCGGGGATTAGTACATGCATATATTTTGGGGTGCATTTTTCAGCCAGCTAAGAGTAAAACCGAGATCACCTTGAAGCTAATTAACCCTATGGCAAAGCTGTACTCCAAAGGAATTTTGGAGCGAGAGATTTCTCAGAGAACTGCTGAGAAAGGTCACCAAAGGAAGGTTAGGTCATGCCCCTCAGAGACCCCTGCGACTGCACCCAGGCGGTGGTTGTGGTGGTCCCAGTAAGAGACCAACCAACCCCATTGTACCCAGGTCCTGGCGGGCGGAGCCCGCAGAGTCAAAGGTTACGGGGAGGATGACTTGGATCGCGGGGGCGGATAGGCGGAAGACTTTGAGCCCAGACGCTGGAACAAGGTCCGGGCGCCTGGGAGGCTGCAGGGGGAGGAGGCCGACACCAAGTCAGCCAACTCTCGCTGGCTCCCGGCACCTGGGGGCGGCGGGGAAGAGGGGGCGCGGCCAAGGGAGCACGCCCCCTGCTGGGCAAAGTGGCCGAGCGTCTGGCTCCTGACTCTGGAAGCCCCTCTGTCCGGAAGGCAGCCCCCTCTGCCGGCCTCACTGCCTTACTGCACCCCGGGCCCGTAGCCGCAGCCTCGGCCCCAGACAGACGCCGTGCGCGGAGCCCCGGCGCGCGGGGTTCGCGGGTGGGTGCAGGACCTGGGCTGCCGCTGGGGGGCGCCGCTGAGCGCCGCGCGTCGCTCGGCTGGGGCCGAGGAGACCAAACCCAGCACCGCCCGGCCGGGCAGGGGGCGCTGGGCGGCAAGGATCGGACGCCCCTTGGAGGGGCGGGGTGGCACCGGACCCCCTGCGTCCCACGACCTTCCTCTGAGCCGCCCCCGCAGGCTCCGCGGTCCCTGTGCACCCCAACCCTAGCCTGGCGGTGCAGCGCAGCGCGACCGCTCCCGCTCCGTCCTTGGAGGGTGTGGAAGGGTGGGTTTGGGGCCGGGGGCGGGTCTGGGGGCGGACCCGGAGGCGGGGCTGTCTCTGCGGCAGGGCCCAGCTCTGCTCCCCCCGTCTCTCTGTCTCTCCTCCTCCCTCCTCCTGCTCCGGGCGGAGCCCGGCATGGGGGGGCCGGCGCCCGGCAGGCCAGGTACGGTGATGTAGAAATTGGGGAGGCTTGGTGCGGGGAGGCGGTGGTGGGGGGACAAGGGGCAGGGAGGATTGGCGGGGCGAGAGGCGGAGAAACCCAGGGCAGCAGGACAAGGGGAAGAGGAGGGGTGCCCGGGAGCCTGGGGCCCTTGGATGGAGAGAGGGATGAAGCAGGCCAGGTTTGGAACAAACAGGGGAAGGGGGAGGACGGCAGTGAGGAGGGGCGCTGGGAGGAGTAGTGAGGCTGAAGGCGAAAGGGAGAGTGTGCGTTTGGGGGAAGGGAAGCCCGAACAGGTATGGAGACTGCAGCTCAGAAGGTAGCTACGAGGCCAGACTGGGGACCCCCGGGTGGGATTGAGAGGCGGGACTGGAAGCAGGAGGACAGGGTCCTCCCAAATCCTGGACTAGGAAGAAGGTGATTTGGGCCATCAGCAAGGGAGGGAGGTGAAGACCGTTACTGAGAGGTGGACGGAGGCCCAGGCCCAAAAGGACTGGAAAGGGGGGGACGCCAGGGAGTGGAGATAGATTGGTGGGTAAGATTTCAGATGCCCAACCCCGTGCCCCCACCTTCCTTCAGCATCCCCACCCAACCCTCATGACCACCTCCCCACCAAGCCTCAGGGCCCAAGAGGGGGTGGCAAGTCTGACCCTTCCCCAGTAGTGTGCGATATATGCAGGTAGGCCCCGGGCATAACTCCTTGTCTGTAGGTGTGTCCAGTTCCGTGGCAGATTTGTGTGTGTCTGGAGGTATGTGTGTCTGTGGGTGTGTCGGTGAGTGTTTATGTCTGTGTGTGTTTGCTGCCCCGAGGTTTGTGTTTACCTATGCCCTTCTATGTGTCTGGCCCTCTGTTGTAGCTCTGGGTCTGTGGCTGGATGGTTCATTTGTTTGAATGTGTGTTTGTGTGAGCACAGAGTTGCTATATGTTTGTGGGGCCTATCTGAGTGGTGGGTCAGGCTGTATTTACACAGCATGGGAATCTGTGTCAATCTGATCTCTCGAGAGTGTGTATGTATGGCTCTGAACACCTTCATCAGGGTGTGTGGCTCTGGGTACACATATACTTCTGTATTTGTTTCCTGAGGTCCTAGAGGCTGTGTTGGGTTTTCTGTGCTTGTCTCTGTTTTCCTCTCTGAGGACCCGAGTCATGTCTCTGCTCCTTTTTTTTTTTCTCTTTCATTCATTCCTGGCCCCCACCCCCACCCCCCACCAAGTGGATCCGGGACCCAGGGAGGGCCGCCCCCCGGGCCTGGTGGCGCTGAGCAGGGACCCCCAGCCCCCACCTCCTGCCCCACGACATGAACCTCCTCTACCGAAAAACCAAGCTGGAGTGGAGGCAGCACAAGGAAGAGGAGGCCAAGAGGAGGTAAGGCTAGGGCCCAGACTGCTTCCTTGCATGTCACAACTGTGCCTAGCCCGGCAGCTGGACACTTTTGTCATTAGTGAGATCTCTGATCTCAATTTCTGTACTCAGTTTTGCATAGCTGGAATTGCACATACCTGTCCTGATCCTGCTCCTGGCTCTGCTCCTAGCTCCTGCTCCTGTCCTGGCCTCCTGGGTGCTTCCAGCTCTGGAGCACCCTCTTGGCTCTTCCCCATCCCCAAGGGTCCGAGTCATTCCTTCCTGACTCACCTCGGGCCTGTGGTCTTCTCCTTTTTGTCATCTGGGGGCTGGCTGCTGACTCTCCTGTCACCTGACCTTGGAAGGGGCGGGCTCCACTACCCTCACAGGGTC